GGCCGAGGACGTCAGCTCCGCCTTGATGCGCGGGGTGGGAGCCGCCAGGTCCCAGATGGACAGAGTACTGGCCTCCCCTCCCACGATGAGGGTGCAACCGTCAGGGAGCAATTTGCAGGAACGGATGTAGTTATCCCTGTTCTGTGAAATAAACGTAATTCAATTGCTATGATGCATGACCAAGCAATAACAATACCGTGCTCTCTAACTGCTATCTTGGTTTTTGACTTGAAAAAGTGGTATTTCGTGGACACCTGCAAAGCAAGAGTTCTGTAGCAAAGATTGGGTTCCAATTGTAACTGTCCCCTTTGAAACAGTCAACAAAACAAACTCCGAGGCTCGCTCGGGCATGTGCAAACACTAAATGGAACTTCTCCTGACGTCCAGTTTCCTGCTGAGTAGAAAGAACTGAAATGATCAGCGGATGTAAGGTAGGTGTGCACGTACTTCTCTGTGAAGAAACCACTTTTCAAAGGTAGTTTATAAATCTCTGACCTCATCACCCGCCCTTATTTACTATTTGGATAGTGCGGACCTGCTGCCTACCTTCTGGTTTTCATTACTCTTAAATCTCTATCTAAGGCTTGTGCTGACTCTTCATTAGCCACGTGGCTCCTTATTAGAACTTTAACAGAGCTGCTTTCTCAAGGGGTAATACAGTTGCTGCCGTATTCAACCCTCTCAGTCCAAAGAAATTGATAAAAGAGGTCATCTCTCTATCAAAACCAGCACATATTAAAAAAGGAAGGTGGGAGGGGCGCTTGGGTGGCTCAGTCAGTTAAGTATCCAACTCTTGATTTCGGCTCAGGTCATGATCACGGGTCGTGGGCCCCGTGCTGGGTGTGGAGCCTGCTGAAGATGCTCTCTCTCCCTCTCCCTCTGCCCCTACCTCTGAAAAAGAAAAAGAAAAAGAAAAAAAAAAAAGGAAGGTGGGACCTAAAATGACCCTCCCTTCCCTGAAAGAAATAACTGCTATCCTTCAACCCAAATAGACAGAACTGAAGTTCTTGCTATGCTTTGACCATGGCCTATTCAAAGATGAGAAAAAACTTTAAGCACATAAATCTCAAAAAAGGTGATGAGTGTCACAAAATACTCCTACTATTATAGAATGTCGGCCTATGTTGAAGCACATTGAAATTTCATTAATGGAGATCTTTTAAAGTTATGTGATTAAAAAGTAAATCAATAACTCCTCAAAAAAAAAAAAAAAAGGCTTTTGTATCTCAAAAACACCACTGTTCTTTTTTTTAAACCTCTGGCTCCCGAATCCTCAGCAATGGCTGGGCAGGCGGTGGGTAAACCGCACCACCGGCCGCGGCAAAGCGTAGGCAGGCCCTGTATCAGGGGCAGTGTGGCCCTGATTCTGCGTCAGGCCAGTGGTATGTGGGCTATAAACTCTGGGGTCACAGTTTATAGAGATCGGAACATGTCCCAACATGTGCTATGATCCTGAAAAATGCAAAACGGTATTCTACTCTGGGAGCAGGTGGATTAGGGTACTCTGGGAAAGCGTTCTCACCATTCCCGTTTCGCAGGCGGCCGCCCCCCGTTTTTATGCAGTATGATCTATTAACCTTTCCTGAAGTTCAGGTAATAAAACCCAGCCAGCCCTCCCAGGTCTCCCTGAAAACACAGACCCTGTTCAGAATGCTTTTTTATGCCACGTTATCAAATGTTTACTATTCAATATTTATCCGAAGGCCGCAGGGAAATTAAAAGTTGGGTGGATTGCAGGGCTCAGAGTCCAGGCCTCGCTGTGCTTTCATTCATTAAATGGGAAACCCCCTTTTGAATACACATTCAAACAAGGACAGCTTCTGTAAACTACTGTACAATGTTTTTTAAAAGAAATCCATCAACTCTGGGATTTAACCGCCGAAAGAGCAACAAATGAAACGTTCACATTTCAGGGAGAGGGGTGGGGGAGCTAACTAGCTAACACAGGAAACAGAAAGGGCTTCCATTTCCTCCTAATGGGAATAAAACCCAGGCCCAAACAGCCATTTCCTTATTGAGTCTCCAGAGAGACATTACCCTCGTGCGCCAGTTCCTGTTCGCTCACCAGACAGTCGAGCTGAGAGACGGGGCTCTTGTTGCCGGGGTGGCTGATGTCCCAGACCTTGACGCAGCCCTTCCCGCCCGTGTA